CGCATCTGTGTTGATTTTAAAGTTACTCGGATAAATGATTAGGGGCCGTGGTCTGTACTACTGTGTTTAGCTTACTGAAACCAGGCTCCTAATATAAATTAATTATAATTATAAATTATATAAATAAAATAAATAAATAAACTATAAATCCAGGTGGTCAGCCGTGTTGGTCTGAAGCAGTAGAACAAATTTGGAGTCCAGTGGGGCACCTTTAAGACCAACAAAGTTTTATTCAAGGTGTGAGCTTCCGTGTGCAGGCACACTTCTTCAGATACAGTGAAGTGGAAATAGAAATATCAGTCATACATATAGACTGAGGGTGGGTAGTAATTTTGCATATAGAATAATGATGGTGTTTTTAACAGGTTAAAAGAATAATAAGCTTAGTATGTATGCCAACAATGCCCTTCGGTTCTCTACACAGGGCAAACGGGACAAACCCTACGCCAGAGGATAAATGGACACACATCTGACATCGGGTATCACAAGACAGAGAAACCGGCAGGGGGACACTTCAGGCTTCCAGAACATTCAGCGAGTGACCTCAAGGTAGCTGTTTTATTAAAAAGGAACTTCAGGAACAGAATGGAAAGGGAAATTGCTGAATTACATGTTATTACAATACTTGGAACAAAGACCTCCCCAGGACTCAACAGGGATATTGGTTTCTTATCTCATTACATATGCTAACTCATTCAGCCATCACATGTGTATTCTTATACAGGGGGACTATACATCCTCTGTATTTTAGTGTATTTCTTTTTTCAGAATAGTATATTAGAATACTGAATGCAACACAAGGAATATTGGAATGTTTGGCTGACATACACGGCTCCCGCCTCGAAAAAGGAAGTAAACATGCTGTTAAGTGACCTCCACGCTCTGGGAGTGCATTTCTTAAAACATCTCCATCGTGTTACATGTTAATTTGCTGTTCAGCCCGTCTATAAGTCTGAACCTTACCTCCCATTCCACTGTATCTGAAGAAGTGTGCCTTGCACACGAAAACTCATACCTTGAATAAACTTTTGTTGGTCTTAAAAGTGCCACCGGACTCTAAATTTGCTCTGTTGCTTCAGACCAACATGGCTGACTACCTGGATCTGGCTTCAGTCTGTTTGGGTTCAACTGGGAGGGGGGAACAAACGTAGCATAGATAATAGATGTCAGAATTTGAGATTGATGTACCATTAATTGTAGAACGGTGAGAGTCTGTCTCCTCTCAAGCATGGAGGCGAAGTTGCAGCATCTTTTTCTTTGAAGTGGGCAACGGGCATTCCGGACTTCCTTAGTCTTAAAGGTGCCACTGGACTCGAACTTTGCTAGGCTCCTGCTGTGTTATTTTTGTATCACATAATGTGTCACATTAAAACGTCTGCTTTGCTTCAGTTCTGTTTTTAGATTTCTGGTTTTCGGCTTAAACGTTAGGAAGAACTTCCTCTCAGTTACAGCGGTTCCTCAGTGGAACAGGCTTCCTCGGGAGGTGGTGGGCTCTCCTTCTCTGGAGGTTTTCAAGCAGAGCCTAGATGGCCCCATCTGACAGCCATGCTGATTGTGTGGACTTGGGCACATCAGGAGAAGGGAGGGCAGGAAGGGTTGCCTCAGGGCTTAGTCCTTGTGGCCCTTTCTTAAGCGCCCAGGGAAATGCCGGTCGCCACTCTGGGGTCAGGGAGCAATTTTTCTCCAGGCCAGTTTGGCCGGGGATCCTGGAGGGTTTTTTGGTCATCTTCTGGGTATGCAGCAGGGGTCACTGGGTGTGTGGGGAAATATTTGGCTCTGACTTGAGAGTTCTTTCCACCACCACTGTAATGTCAGGTTATGTTCTGATGAAGCATTCTGCCCCCAAAGTGCCCCAATTTTATAAGTAGTTGTGAGTTTATGGGCATTGTAAGACTTTATTCCAGCTCTGGGGCTGTGGGCGAGGAACTTGGCTTCTGCTGGAATCAAATCTTGCCAACCTCCTGGACGCCTCATGGTTTTGGGGCACTTTGGTGCATGACCCTGGATCAAGCGGCAATTTCTGCCCCTGGACTCACACTCTGATCTCTCTCTCTCTCTTTCTATTTAGGAGAACATCAGAAGAGGCCTGCATCCCGTCTCCCACAGGGGCCAGCCAGTTCCTCTGGAGGGTCACCAACAGGGCAGAGAGGCCGAGGCCTTCCCCTGAGGAGAACATCAGAAGAGCCCTGCTGGGTCAGACCAGTGAGGGTCCATCTAGTCCAGCCAACCAGTTCCTCTGGAGGGCCAACAACAGGGCATGGAGGCCGAGGCCTTCCCCTGAGGAGAACCTCAGAAGAGCCCTGCTGGATCGGACCTGTGAGGGTCCATCTAATCCAGCCTCCTGTCTCCACACAGGAGCCAACCAGTTCCTCAGGAGGGCCAACAGCAGGGCAGAGGGGCCGAGGCCTTCCCCTGAGGAGAACATCAGGAGAGCCCTGCTGGGTCAGACCAGTGGGGATTCATGTAGTCCAGCCTCTTGTCTCACCTAGTGGCCAACCAGTTCCTCTGGAGGGCCAGCAACAGGGCACAGAGAGGCCGAGGCCTTCCCCTGAGGTTGCCTCCCGGGTTCGAGCTGCAGAGGTTGTGTGCTTCTGAACCTGGAGGTTCCCTTTAGTCACCATGGCAGAAGAACCTCAGAAGAGCCCTGCTGGATGAGGGTCCCTCTAGTCCAGCATCCCGCCTCACACAGCGGCCAACCGGTTCCTCTGGAGGGCCAGCCACAAGGCAGAGAGGCCGAGGCCTTCCCCTGAGGAGAACATCAGAAGAGCCCTGCTGGGTCAGACCAGTGAGGGTCCATCTAGTCCAGCCAACCAGTTCCTCAGGAGGGCCACCAGCAGGGCAGAGGGGCCGAGGCCTTCCCCTGAGGAGAACCTCAGAAGAGCCCTGCTGGATCGGACCTGTGAGGGTCCACCTAATCCAGCCTCCTGTCTCCACACAGGAGCCAACCAGTTCCTCAGGAGGGCCAACAGCAGGGCAGAGGGGCCGAGGCCTTCCCCTGAGGAGAACATCAGAAGAGCCCTGCTGGGTCAGACCAGTGAGGGTCCATCTAGTCCAGCCAACCAGTTCCTCAGGAGGGCCACCAGCAGGGCAGAGGGGCCGAGGCCTTCCCCTGAGGAGAACCTCAGAAGAGCCCTGCTGGATCGGACCTGTGAGGGTCCACCTAATCCAGCCTCCTGTCTCCACACAGGAGCCAACCAGTTCCTCAGGAGGGCCAACAGCAGGGCAGAGGGGCCGAGGCCTTCCCCTGAGGAGAACATCAGAAGAGCCCTGCTGGGTCAGACCAGTGAGGGTCCATCTAGTCCAGCCAACCAGTTCCTCAGGAGGGCCACCAGCAGGGCAGAGGGGCCGAGGCCTTCCCCTGAGGAGAACCTCAGAAGAGCCCTGCTGGATCGGACCTGTGAGGGTCCACCTAATCCAGCCTCCTGTCTCCACACAGGAGCCAACCAGTTCCTCAGGAGGGCCAACAGCAGGGCAGAGGGGCCGAGGCCTTCCCCTGAGGAGAACATCAGGAGAGCCCTGCTGGATCGGACCTGTGAGGGTCCACCTAATCCAGCCTCCTGTCTCCACACAGGAGCCAACCAGTTCCTCAGGAGGGCCAACAGCAGGGCAGAGGGGCCGAGGCCTTCCCCTGAGGAGAACATCAGGAGAGCCCTGCTGGATCGGACCTGTGAGGGTCCACCTAATCCAGCCTCCTGTCTCCACACAGGAGCCAACCAGTTCCTCAGGAGGGCCAACAGCAGGGCAGAGGGGCCGAGGCCTTCCCCTGAGGAGAACATCAGGAGAGCCCTGCTGGATCGGACCTGTGAGGGTCCACCTAATCCAGCCTCCTGAGGATCCTGCCCCAGCGCCGCCGCCGCCGCCTCCTCCTCCTCCAGGAGGGCTTGGTCTACTCGGGAGTAAGCCCGCCTGAGCGCAAGGGGGACCCGACCCCCGGAGCGGGGCCCTGAGGGTGCCTCCCGCCCCGGAGGGATCCGATTCAAAAGGCCGGATTCCTTCCAGATCTTGGGGTCAAGGCTCCCTCTAAGCTGTGGAGTCCTGTGAGCCAAAATCCTACTTTTTGAGCTACCGGCCTTAAAGCTGTGAGCGAGCGATTCGGCTGCTGCATAAATCAGTTTGCTCTGGAGCCGCATCCTTCCTGAGCGAAGGCAAAAATGTGTGAGCCGGAGGCTAAAGAACTGTGGGCTAGCTCACACTGACTCAGCTTAGAGGGAACACTGGTTGGGGTGGTTTAGTCCAGAGGAAACTCAGTCGGGCTTGGGCGCCTTCCCTGCCGCTCTCCTTTCGCCCCTGGAAAAGGCAAGAAGGCTGGAGAGCGGAAAGAGAGGGAAATAGCTGGTTTGGCTCAGCCCAGGGGGCTTTGGGTGTTGGCTTGCTGTACAGGGGGGGGAGGGGGGACATTTCTCAGGGTTGGTCCAAAGCTGGGCACGGAAGAGCAGGAGGTGGCAGACGCCGGTGCGGAGGGGACCCCCTTCCCCGGGTCCTGACCTGCCAGCGCCCAGCCTATTTGACTTGGAAACCGGTCCGCCCCGAGTCAGACATGTGCCCACAATCCAGTGGAGCCCTCTGATCTCCCAAGCGTCTCTTCAGGGGCAAATCCCAACACTGTGAGGCCGTGGCACCCAGCCGGCCCAAAAGTTAGCCTCCCTGTGAAAAAAATGAGGAGCCTGAACTTGGTGGGGAAAGGACTTTTCCCAGCGGTTTCACTGAAACCGGCCGTGACTCACCCTGGCTAGGTGAGGGCCTTCGCCTTGGAATCTAAGCACAGGGAGGCGGCTGGCTTGCGGATCCGGCTGCACCCACGGCTAATAAGGAGGACCTCGGGTGCCTTCCTGTACCGGTTCCGTCCTCAGCTTCTGTACCTGCTGCCCCGAACGTCTGACCCGTGTGGCCCCACCAGGCTGGGGCGAGAGGGGGTTGAAAGGGAGGGAGGGCGGCCTGCTCGGACACCCCACCGCAACCTGTCCTTTCCTCCTCTCCCGTTTTGCCACGCGCATGGCTAGATAGAGGACGATATAGCGCAGTTGGAAAAGCAACTGCGGGTCGCGGAGGACGAGAGGGACCGGGTTCTGGAAGAGATGCATAACTCCGAGGAGAGCCTGCTCGCGGCCGATGAGAAGGCCACCAAGGTATCGTTGCGAGAGGATGCTAACGTCTCTCTCTTTCTCTCTCCTCTCTCCCTCTGTCTTCCTCTGTCCTTCTGCACCCGCACCTCTTCTCTGCACCGTCTTTGTTGCCTGCTGCACCCCCACCTACCGTGCCCACCACCACCACCGCCGCTTCCGTTCTCTGCCCCTCTCGGTTGGCCGCCCGGTTAGCTGGAGGATGAGCTGGTGTCTCTGCAAAAGAAGCTCAAAGGCACTGAAGATGAGCTGGATAAATACTCCGAGTCCCTGAAAGATGCCCAGGAAAAGCTGGAGGTGGCGGAGAAAAAGGCGACAGACGTAAGTAGGCTCCCCCCCGACCACCGCCCCACGCAGACACGCCGCTTCCCTTTCTCTCTCCCGCCTGTCCACCCGACTTCTACGGCCCCGCGCTTCACCCTGGACCACCAGGCCAGGCATTTCCTGACCCGTGTGGCCGGACGGCGGCCCACCGGTTTCCTGGAACGATTGTGGCCCACCGCCAAAAGACAGGCCGAGAGGAGTTCTGTGTTTGGAGTACCACTGATCTCGCCAGGCGTGGCTCGAACCCGAGGCGGAAGGAGGCCTCTTAGGACTGACCACTCAGGCAGGGGACGACGGGGCTGCTGTTTGTGGCACGCAGAATTCTGGTGCACACGATAACAATTGCCTAAGGTAGAACTGGATGGCCCACGCTAGTCCAATGTCATCAGACCTCAGAAGCTAAGCAGGGTGAGCCCTGGTTTGTCCTTGGATGGGAGACCGCCAAGGAAGCCCAGGGTTGCTACGCAGAGGCAGGCAAATGGCAAACCGCCTCTGAACGTCTCTTGCCTTGATGTGGATGGCCCACGCTAGTCCAATGTCATCAGACCTCAGAAGCTAAGCAGGGTGAGCCCTGGTTTGTCCTTGGATGGGAGACCGCCAAGGAAGCCCAGGGTTGCTACGCAGAGGCAGGCAAATGGCAAACCGCCTCTGAACGTCTCTTGCCTTGATGTGGATGGCCCACGCTAGTCCAATGTCATCAGACCTCAGAAGCTAAGCAGGGTGAGCCCTGGTTTGTCCTTGGATGGGAGACCGCCAAGGAAGCCCAGGGTTGCTACGCAGAGGCAGGCAAATGGCAAACCGCCTCTGAACGTCTCTTGCCTTGACCTGGATGGCCCAGAGTAGCCCGATCTTACCAGATTTTGGAATCTAAACAAGGTTTGGCCCTGGTTAGTCCTTGGATGGGAGACCACCAGGGAAGTCCGGGGTTGCTACGCAGAGGCAGGCAATGGCAAACCCACCTCTTAACATCTCTAGCCTTGACCTGGATGGCCCAGGTTAACCTGATTTTACCAGATTTTGGAATCTAAACAACATTTTGCCCTATTTACTCCTTGGATGGCAGACCACCAAGGAGGTCCGAGGTTGCTGTGCAGAGGCAGGCCATGGCAGACCACCTCTGAACGTCTCTTGCCTTGACCCAGATGGCCCACGCTAGCCTGATCTTACCAGTTTTTGGAATCTAAAAGACCTTTGGCCCTGTTTAGTCCTTGGGTGGGGAGGACCACCCAGGAGGTCCGGGGTCGTTACGCAGAGGCAGGCCATGGCAAACCGCCTCTGAAGCGTCTCTTGCCTTGGAAAGCCCCACAAGGTCGCCATAAGCCAGCTGCAACGTAATGGCCCTTTCTACCACTCAAGCTGAATTCATCGTGCTTTTGGGATGATAAAAACTTTCGTGGGACAAACTTGGGGCATCCTTCCGTTTCTCTGTGGGGCCGGGTCTCCAAAGCCCACGGGAGTGCCCACGAGGGTCGCCGGATAGTCTTCCTTTTAGAGCCTCCTCCTGGTTTTGAAGAGTTCGGAAGAGAGCTAAGGCCAGCAAGGGGGCCGGTCAAGGAAAACGTGGTTCCGCCGTCCAAAGGACTGGCTCGGAAGACGATACTTGCTTGGGTCTGCAGTCCGCGGGGGACAGAGATCCAGAGAATAAGCAGGGGGTTATATATAGCTCAGTACTTTATATGGTATAGTGCAAGAGCCTCCCCTCCCCCCCGTTGCGGTCTCTCATCCCACCCACCTGTCTGACCCCTGACGAGCATTAAATAGTTCCATGCCTGTAACGCCCAAGCATTTTCGGCCCCACATCCATTACGGTGTGAGGGACATTCTTTCCGAGTAAAGACTTCTTCCTGCGATTGGAGGGAGAGATGCCCGTCCCTGAGCTGATGGTGACAGGCAGCCTTTGGATTTGTCTCTTTTTTTAAAAAGCAGCTTTATTTGACGTCCGGGAAAGAAATGATAAGCAGGCAGTTTTTGGGGTGCGAGATAAAACAAGTCTGGAAGCAAAATGTTGAGGGAGGGAGATTCCGTTTGGAGTTGGAAGACAAAGTCTGCGGCCCCCGATTTAATTCATTGTGTTGGTTTAAGGGGGAAATTTCTGGTGCCCAGCAGAGAAAGGAATCTCCTCGAATTTAATTCCAGCCCTGAGGACCGCAAAATGACTGTCCCGTCTGAGACCAGCAGGGCATAATAGGGTTCAGATGTGTGTTTCTCGGCATGTGGCTTTCTATAGATGGGAGTCAGCAGCGTTCCAGCCCCGGCGTTTATTTAACTTTGTTCAAAGGAACCGCATATAGATCCTGGGGAGATATTCCTTATAAGGGAAAGAATGCAGACTATTTGGAAATCGCTTCCCTTGGATGAAGGCTGGGGAGAGCGGAGAAATGCTACTGGGTTCAGAGGGAGAGAGAGAGAGAACAGGAGAGAGAGTTTCCTTCCTTTCTTCTGTAGCCTTTTTCGCTTAGGAAGCGGTGAAATTAATTTGCAAACACCATGGGGCGGGGAATGCAGGGCACGTTTTTGGTCGCCGCGTTCCCAGAGAGGTGTCGTAAGCACCCTGTCCCCCCCCCCAGTACAAAAAGTCCTTAATTTTGAGAGAGAGAGAGAGAGAAGTGGTGATTGTGGGAGGAAAGGGTAAGGAAATGCCTGCGTGGGTGAATTCTCAAGCCCATATCGGCCAGAGAGGAAACGGCTTCCTTGCTGACGCAGACCTTTCTCACTGGAGAGACAGACGGATGTCTCTCATTAGGGAGAAAGGTGGGTCAGGTCTGTGGAATGAGCTCACCTTTACGCGACGGTGTTGGGCCGGCTTGGTGTTAGTCATGGCTGAGGCAGACTTCATTCGGCCTCATTTGAGATACCAGTTTGACTCAAGTGGGTTGGAAGTTCTTCATGAGTAACACTTGGCTGGCTGTTCTTACCCTGTTCCCTCCGAGGCCTTCCCCAGCAGTCTTTCCCGATACCTTTTCCTTTATTCTAAAACATCACAACTTCTGGGTACTGAACCTTTTATTTCATGGGAAGGGCCGTGGCTCAGTGGCAGAGCCTGTGCTTGGCATGCAGGAGGTCCCAGGTTCAGTCCCCGGCATCTCCAGTTAAAAAGGACCAGGCAGTGGGTGATGTGAAAGACCTCCGCCTGAGACCCTGGAGAGCTGTAAAGAGGGGCCGTGGCTCAGTGGAAGAGCCTCTGCTTGGCATGCCCAAGCTCCCAGGTTCAGTCCCCGGCATCTCCAGTTAAAAAGGACCAGGCAGGAGGTGATGTGAAAGACCTCCGCCTGTGACCCTGGAGAGCTGTAAAGAGGGGCTGTGGCTCAGTGGCAGAGCCTCTGCTTGGCATGCAGGAGGTCCCAGGTTCAATCCCTGGCACCTCCAGTTGAAAGGACCAGGCAGTAGGTGAGGGGAAAGACCTCCGCCCGAGACTGGGGAGTGGTTGCCAGTCTGAGTAGACAATCCTGACCTTGATGGACCAGTGGTCTGATTCAGTATAAGGCAGCTTCATGGGTTCATATATTATAAGGGAGCGGCCACGGCTCAGTGGCAAAGCCTCTGCTTGGCATGCAGAAGGTCCCAGGTTCAGTCCCCGGCATCTCCAGCTAAAAGGTGATGGGAAAGACCTTCCTCCGCCTGAGACCCTGGAGAGCAGCTGCCAGTCTGTGTAGACAATATTGACCTTGACAGACCAAGGGTCTGATCCAATATAAGGCAACTTCATGTTTTCATTTCTGTTAGGGTTAAGGACGGCCTTGTCTGAACGTGCTCCACTTTGTTCACAGGGCAGTATAGTTCTTGCCCACTGGGGGGAAAAGCACACACATGCACATTTGGGCTGGATCGTGCGCATTGGGATGGGAAACCCACACAGGTTGGCCTGAACTCCCTGGAGGGAACGGAAGGGGAGGATCAAAACGGCACTGGAGAGAATTAAGTCTCCCCAACCACAATTGGACTCGTTCCCTAGCAAAAACAAAACAAACAAAACCCCAGTCTTGGTGGCACCGGGGAGATTTATTGTGGCAGAAACGTGTGCGAACGGAAGGCTGCTTTTTGAAACGGCAAGCAGCCAAGCCAGAAAAAGTGGGCGCTAGTTCACAAAAGGTTCTGCCACTAGAAACATGGGTCTTTACGGTGTTCCCAAGTCTCCTCTTTGCCTGTGCTGCAAGAGGGTAACAAGGCTTCCCCCCGTCACCGGAACTTGTTCCCAAAGTGAGAACTGGAACTGACTCTCCCAAAGTGAGAGCCAGTTTGGTGTAGTGGTTAAGTGCGCGGACTCTAATCTGGGAGAACCAGGTTTGATTCCCCACTCCTCCACTTGCACCTGGCTGGATGACCTTGGGCAAGCCATAGTTCTGATCAGAGCTGTTCTTGAAAAAGAGCCGTTTCTGTCAAGAGCTCTCTCAGCCCCGTCTACCTCACAGGGTGTCTGTTGTGGGGAGGGGAAGGGAAAGGGGTTTGTAAGCCGCTCTGAGACTCCTTTGGGTAGTGAAGGGCGGGGGATACATCCAATCTCCTCTCCTCCTCTCCTCCTATTTAGGATCACAACTTTACAGCCCAAAGCTCACCATGAACACACAACTTCATAGAATTCTTTAGAGAATAGGACACCGGCCTTACAGTTTGGTCCTAAGATAGATTCAGGGGGTGTCGCCGTGTTGGTCCGAAGCAGCAGAACCAAGTTTGCGTTCAGGGGCACCTTTAAGACCAACAAAGTTTAATTCTGGGTACCAGCTTTCGTGTGCGTGCACATGTATCTGAAGAAGTGTGCCTGCACACACAAGCTTATATCTCGAATTAAATTTTGTTGGTCTAAAAGGTGCCCCTGGACTCCGACTTGGTTCAGTTTGGTCCTAAGTATGCTTACTCAGAAGTAAGACTAGTTGAGTTTAACGGGTCTTACTCCCAGGTAAACCTGCATAAGATCGAAGCATTCATCTGAGAAAGGAAACCCAGAATCTCACACGTCTGTTTGTTAATTACATCCTCATCTGGCCAGTGGTCTGATTTGG